GGCTACTGCGGCTACCTGGCCACCGTGACGGGCATCGCCGTGGGGGCCGACGCCGCCTACGTCTTCGAGGACCCTTTCAACATCCAAGACTTAAAAGTGAGCCGAGGCCCCGAGCCCTTCTCCTGCCACAGACGTCCCAGCGGGGCTGAGCGGGGGTCCCCTCCTGAGACACACAGGAGCCAGGCTGGGGGCTCCCTGCCGGCGAGGGGACCCCGCTCATGACCCCCAGCGCCTCCTCCCCGACCCCGTGCAGACCTCCACCCGGCGTCCGTGTTGTCGCTGCCGTGGCCTCCTGGCCCCAGCCACCCGCCTGGCCTCACGGCCCAGCCCTATCACCCAGGGCCCCGCCAACGTCAGCCGACCTGCGTGCGTCCCCATGACCCCTGGGTCACACTGGCCCTGTGGTTAGCCTGGAATATTCCTTCCCAGACAGCATTGAGGCTGTGGGTGGGTGCTGTGCAGCTACTGTTCTCACTCCGGGCTGACCCTGTGTACCCCCCGTGCCCACAGGCCAACGTGGAGCACATGACCGAGAAGATGAAGACACACATCCAGAGGGGCCTGGTGCTTCGGTGAGGCTGCCAGACCCGGAGGGTGGCTCGGGGCTGCTGAGGGGCGCCAGACCCTCCCCCAGCACTGGCCTGTGGCCGGGCCCGGCGGGGGCTCGGCGTCTGGACGAGACCCGAGCCGGCCCCGGCCCTCTTTCCAGAAACGAGAAGTGCCATGAACACTACACCACGGAGTTTCTGTATAACCTGTACTCCTCCGAGGGGAAGGGCGTCTTTGACTGCAGGACCAACGTCCTGGGCCACCTGCAGCAGGTAGGGGCCCAGGGGCCTGGTTCTGGCCTCTCCCTCCATCTGACCCGAGCTGAGGGGCCCCAGGAGGATATGGCAGGATGGGGACCCTTCCCTGTGCACGACCTCGTGGGGCACCCGACCCTTCCCCCTCATGCCCGTGCTTACCTGCTCGTCACCCCCTCCGTGCGGGTGAGGGGTGGGGGGTGAGGCTCCCGTCCCCCTGAGTCCTCACCACCAGGACAGGGCAGGGCTGGGACCCCTGTGGCCACCTCCGCCCTGCCTGGTCCCCTCCTTCGTGGCCTCCTGGCCGCCCTGCAGGAAGCCTGCGCCGTGCGGGGCCCACAGAGGCCGCCCGACAGGACGGGCAGTCAGCCCCCCACCCGGCCTCTGGAGATGGCTCTTAGGCTGCACTGGGGTAGACAAAGGGGCTGGGGCGCCGCAGACAGAGATGCAGGGAGCTTGGACGGGATGGGGTGTCAGGAGCCGGGAGGGCTCTCCTGCGGTCACGGCAGGGCCGTTCTGCTGGGCTCCTGCCAGAGCCCCCCCCCCCCCCCCCCCCCCCAGTCTCTGGCGCGATGGAGGCGCCCTCACCCACTGCGTTTCCAGGGCGGAGCTCCGACCCCCTTTGACCGGAACTACGGTACGAAGCTTGGGGTGAAGGCCATGCTCTGGATGTCGGAGAAGCTGCGGGCCGTCTACCGTAATGGTGCGTATGTGGCAGGAAGGGGTGGTGGCTCCGGGCCTGACCTCGCCCTCTGCCCGGACCCAGGGTTCAGGGCGGCCTGTGTCCACAGGGCGGGTGTTCGCCAACGCCCCCGACTCAGCCTGCGTGATCGGCCTGCAGAAGAAGGCGGTGGCCTTCAGCCCCGTCACCGAGCTCAAGAAGGACACCGACTTTGAGTGAGTGCCTCCGGAGAGAGGGGTGGCCTGCCCAGCCACGCTCGGGCCCGGACCCCACGGGGCTGCCCCGTCTGCCTGCCCGGGGCCAGAGCGGTGATGACACCGAGGCCTGAGCCCAGGCCGGGGCTCCTCCCATAGGGTGGGGTCAGCGGGCTGGTCCGGCTGCGGACACCCCCCTCGCTCCCCCAGCCAGCCTGTGCTGAGCCCCCAGAGACGGACACCCCAGATACCGCTGCCTGGCTCCACTCCAGGCGGTGTCCCGGTGCTCAGAGGACGGGGTGCCCGGGTTCTCAGAAGATGGGGCATCTGGTGCTCAGAGGAGGGGGTGTCGGGGTACCCAGAGGAGGGGGTGTCCGGTGCTCAGAGGAGGGGGTGTCGGGGGTGCTCAGAGGAGGGGGTGTCGGGGTGCTCAGAGGAGGGGATTTCCGGTACCCAGAGGAGGGGGTATCTGGTGCTTAGAGGAGAGGGTCTCCGGTGCTCAGAGGAGGGCGTGTCGCGTGTTGGGGGCTCAGAGGACAGGGTGCTGGGGGTGCTCAGAGGAGGGGGTATCTGGTGCTCAGGGGAGGGGGTCTCCGGTGCTCCGAGGACGGTGTCCCCAGCGCTGACTGCACCCTTCCGCCAGGCACCGCATGCCGCGGGAGCAGTGGTGGCTGAACCTGCGGCTCATGTTGAAGATGCTGGCGCATTACCGCATCAGCATGGCCGACTACGTGTCCGGGGAGCTGGAGCACGTCACCCGCCGCACCCTCAGCATCGACAAGGGCTTCTGAAGCTGCGCCCCAGCTGCCTCTCCCCGCCCCCTCTCTCCCTCCCTGGAGTCTGTGGGCGGGCGGTGGGCGGGCGGGGGCCGCAGCCCTCTGGGTCTGGCCCCACGGCTTCCCCCTCTCTTCCGCTGCCCGCTGGGGGGAGTGCTGCCCCGGGGGGGGGGGCGAGGGAGGGGGCCTCCGTGCGGGGACACCACTGTCCTGCTGTGGGCCCTGCTGTGACCCTGCTTCTGTGTGCACCGGCCACCCTGGAGGAGAGCTTGTCACCTTTTCTGAAAATAAAGTCACCTGACTGTGGAGGGTGACCAGTCTGCGGGGAGCAGGCCCTCTGTGATCTGGGGCGGTGGGGGGGGGTGGCAGTGGGCAGCTGGTGGTGCCCCCCGACCTGCACACACAGGGAGGGCCTGGCCTCCCCCAGGCTTGGGAGCATTTCTGAGCCTGGCTCTGAGCCCTGGGTCTGACCTGGAACGGTCCCCAGGCTGCCCGGGCTGGGGTCTCGGCAACAGAGCCAGAGACCCAAGGGCAAGCGGCTGATCTGAGCGAGGGAGTATCCGTGGAGACACTGGTGGAGGTGGGCGACGAGGGAGACAGAAACGTCACCCGCCGATCCATCCAGCACAGGTTCTGGGGGTGGCACAGAGGCTTGCTCTGCAGCATGACGCGGCACCGGGGTCTCGGGAGGAGAAGCTGAACCTCAGTGACACCACCTGAACTTCTGGGCACCCCCCCACCCCCCCCCCGTTCCTCCTGAGGTCACCGCACAGCGCACTTCTGGTCCCACTGTGGTTGCCTGGGCACCTGCCCTCAGCACCTGCCGAGGCTCAAGAGGAGGGCCTGGGACCCACGGGGTTTTGTGGGGAGCCCCTGGCCTTTGGAGCTCACAGGCCACATCCAGGGCTAGGGCCCCTGCTGGGGCCCGCTGTCCCTCCGGCTGCCTGCACCTCCCGGCCTCGGCAGGGTGCGTGTGGTCGCTCCCCGGGGAGCGGCAGGCGTGGTTGGGGCCCCTGCCGGGGGACCACGCCCTCCTCACCGTGCGGGCCCCAGAGCCTGAGGGCTCCCAGGTGCCCATTGCTGGAGCTGGGGTCCCTCTGGTCTGCTCTGCCTGCTACGAGATTGAGTGGTCCTGGGGCAGGCCAAGGAACGGGTCCCAAGTGTTTAAACCCCTGTCTCGAGAGACCAGGGACAAATTCCTGGGTCCCGGAAACCTGAGTATGCCTGCGTGTGAATGCCTATGTGTGTGCGTGTGCACGTGCGTGGATGTCTGTGCGTGTGAGTGCACGCGGGTGTACTTAGGCGTGGGGTGGGGACTCCTGGGGGAGACCCTGGCTGTGGCAGATACCCTCCAGGGTACGGCCGCGAGTCCAGTCTGTCCCATGGCCACACCCAGCCCAGACACCACACTGGCCCAGGCTCTGCTCCCTGCTGACCTCTCCCTTGCCAGCCGCACCCCCCACCCCCCACCTCCCGGCCTCCGAGGGCCAGTGAGGCCTCCCAGTGCACCCAGTGCCCGGCTGGGGGGAGGGAGCCAGAGAGGCTTGGGAGCCCAACTTTCCAGGATGTTCTTGCTACTTTTTCTTGAACGTGCCGTGTCTGGAGACACGTTCTTCTGGGGGTTGCCGCGCAGGCCGTGACTGCGGCCCGGCCCCTGCTGTCCCGTCGGCCCCTCCTCCCAGCTCCCCAAGCACAGGGGGACTCCCTGTCCTGGAGGAAGCCCCCCCAGGCCTGGGTGTCCTGGGGCCATCCCATGTTGGAGGGCAGGCTTCAAAACCCAGACCCGCCGGGCTCTGCCCTCCGGCTCAGCTTCGAGGACGCCACGCGTGAGGCCAGCATGACAAGGTGTCAGGTGCAGATCCCACGTTCCCCCGAAGATGCCAGCAGGGGGTGTGTGGCCTGGCCACAGTGCGCTAACAAATGTGCCCTCTGCACCCAGGGCCCAGGGGCTTGCCGCCGTGGGAGGCCCCACCCAGGGCAGGCGAGAGACTCCTGGGGAGCGCACAGCCAAGGCCCTGACAAGTCTGCCTCTGGTTAAGTCAGACACGCACATGGCTGGGAGGGAGCCCACGGCGGATCCCTCCTGTGGGTCCTGCCGTGCACAGGGGTGGGTGGGGCGGGCACCGCAGGAAGGTCGTGGCGAGCGGGCGGTGGGCCGTGCCTGGGAAGGGGCTGTGGGCAGGCAGCAGGGCTCAGCTGTGGGCTGGAGTTCGCTCAGGACTTCTGCCCCCCCACCCCCCCGCCAAGGAGACGGTGTTGGTTTCCAGCCTGGGGGGGTTTCCAGCCACAAACACAGAGGCTTCAACACCCCCGTTTGTGACTCACAGAGGCTCAGGGGTGCGGGCACGACCTAGCTGGGTCCTTGGCTCAAGGACAGCTGGGACAGATGTCAACCGGGACCAACGGACTTCAGGCCCTTCTGAGCTGCCTGGTGGGGCGGATTCAAGGTCACTAACCGAGGTCGTGGGCAGGCGGGAAGCTGGTGTGAGCTGCCTGGTGGGCGAGGAAAGGGAAGATGTTCCGGATTTAACAGGACCACCCCAACTGGCTCTAAAAAAGACAACGCTTTATTGAGTGTGACAACCATCCAGATGTACAACAGAAGGCACGCGCGGACCCTGCGGCCACCCTTCCGGATACCCCCACGTGGCGACCCCTTGCTTCCGCCCCCCAGGTCCCGAGGAGCCACGACACCCGATATCCACCACCCGCCCAGTGTGGCCGGGCCAGTGCGAGCGCGGCCTGCCACGGTCTCCCCGGCAGTCACCCCATCTGGGTTCTCGCACACAGTGGGTGAAGTCCCACCCCTTCGCTTGCACGGCGACACAGACACTAATGGGAGCCAAGGCGGAGGGAACCCCCCTCTCCGGTCCCACCGTTTCAGCACCAGTAAGACTAATGGCTCAGAGGCCACGCTCCTCCCCGGTCCCCGGAGCTGCTGGGGGGCAGGAGGAAGGGCCCCGGATTGCAACACTACCACTCGGGGCCTGTGCACCACGGCAAGGCCTGTGGCTCTGCCCACGGGAGAACACGTTTTAGATGGGGTTTCCGGGCATCCTCCCCGGCCCCGCTGCCTGTCCTACTTCTGTACCTGAGTCTCCAGACAGGAGCGCGGGCCTGCCCACCCCCGGCCTCCCCCCGGCATGGCGTACAAGACCCCTGCACCCTGCCAAACACGTGGGCAGCGGTGGGCACGGCCGCGTGGGTCTGCCGAGGCTGAGGCGGAGCCCGGAGCTGCTGCTGCTTCGAGGACGGCACCATCCTGGGCGGAATCTACTCCCGACCCGGTGGGAGAGCCGACAGGGGAAATGCACGTGCACGTGGCCCTTAGCTTCAAAACAACGTCAAGGCTACGTCCGTCTCCTAGGAAACGTCTGCTTCCAGACTGGACTTGGGGAAGCTGTTTATTAGGGACAGTGGCTGCAACGCCACCTGAGAAGAGGTGAGGCGAGGCGAGGCGAGGCAGGCGGCACACGCCTGGGCCCCGCACGGCGGAGCGTGCCCGGCGCAGTGCCCGGCGCCCTTCCCGCCTGCTACACCTGGGGCGTGGCCTTCCCAGGCGGGGCTGAGCTTCTGGGGACACAGCCCGCATGCGGACACTCAGGATGCAGTGGAGGCCGTGGCTGTGGACCCCACACCTCCCAGATGCTGAGGCACAGGGTCCTGGGAGGAAGGCCTGGCGGCTCGGGTCCCGGCTGACCGTCATTCCACGTCCTCTTGCGGCTCCTGCTTGTGCAGAGCCTGGAGCCGGCTGACCACGGTCTGGTGCACGGCCTCCAGCCCCTCGGCGTCCAGCTCCCGCAGCAGCAGCAGGATGGCGGTCAGGACATTGTTCTGGGGGCACAGAGTCGCTGGCTGAGGGCCAGGCCGGGCACGGCTAGGCTGCCCCCACCCTGATGTGCACGTCCCGGGTGAACAGCCTTCCAGACAGGAGACACCGGGCAGGCCCTCAGGCAGACAGAGCTGCGGCCGCCTGCGGGTACTGCCCAGAGAGGCTAAGCGGCCAGCCCTCAGTCACACAGCGAGCCAGGCAGCCGGAGGCAGAAGGGAGCTGAGTGGCCCGGGACGGCGATCAGTAACGTGTGACCAGACACGTGTGCTCAGGTGTGCCATGCGTGTGCACACGTGCACCCACAACACACGCATGGCACACGTGAGCACACGTGCACCCACAACAGGTTTCTGTCCGCACTTGAGCAAGAAAGGATTTTGCACGTGAGGACTACTCCAGCTCGTTCTTCTTGTGGGGTGACAGGAGAGTCACGTGTGAGCAAAGGGACGTGCTCAGAGGGTCACCGGGCTGAGCCACAGAGTCCCTGCGCGCACCAGGGCGCTGACCTGTGGCCTCAGCAACGCTCGGGTGTCCCGCTCCACCCCCGTCTCCCTGCATCTCCCAGGCTCGCAGGACACCCCCCTGCCCACCCCTGGGGGAGGGAGGAGCCACGGTCCAGGTCCACGTTCACAGCAGAACCAGGGCCTCCTTTCCCGTCCCCAGAAGTTGCTTTGGTGACTCTGGGTCTGCGTTTGTGGAGGGCACTGAGCTGGGTCAGTGTTTAGTCTCGGGGCTCCCCCCGCCCCCCCCCCACAGTGTCCTCCAGAGGCCTGGGCCTGCCCGCAGGGCCTGCCCTGCCCCGGGGCTGCGTACGTGGGGGCTCCTCTTGAAAGGTGTCGGAGAAGCTTGCACAGACTGCTGAGCTGACCCCACGCACACACCCTGCGCGGGACCGTCAGCTGTGCGGGGTGTGGTCCCCAGGCTCCGGGGGCAGCTGCCAAGACTGGCATTCAGTCTGCAGTCACTTCTGTCGGCGGCTCTGGGGGGACGCTTCTCCCGGAGGGTGGGTCGGCCCCTCCCCGGCACAGGGCCTCGGTCCCTCTCCCTCTGTGCCCCCCACAAGCTTGGCAAGTTCCTCGAGGGGGTGCTGGCGGCCCCCGCCCCCCGACTGTGGAGCCTTTCCCTCGTGGGCCCGCACCAGTCCCGTGGCTCTGCTCAGGCAGCACCCTCCCGCGTGACCAGGTGGCGGGGTCCCCACTGGGCCAAGCTAACGGCGGTAACCCTGTCCTCCTGGCCAATGACGGCTCCCACTGGGGACGTGAGCAGTTCCAGCTGATGAAGCCGGGCCTGCTGGCTGGGGGTACACGCGGCAGCTGCTCTTGACCAATGAGGGGACACACACAGGAAGAAACGGTGTGAGCCTGGATCGGAGGACCAGCCCTGTGACCAGCAGGGGAACAAGCCCCAGCACGAGCCAGAAGGACACAGGAGGTGGACAGACACTTGGAAAGGGCCGGGGTCTCTGACCGAGCTGCCCACATAACCGACTTCTTGTCAACAACCCATTACTCCTCCCAGGGATGAGGACTGTGTCCACCTGCAGGCGGGAGGCCCCCCAGCAGCAAACCCCTACAGCTTTTGTGCCACCACAGCAGCCGCCCCGCCCCCAGGCCAGAGCCAGGGCTCTCCTGCAGCTGTTGGTGGGGGGGGGGGGGTCTCCTCTCTCTCTAGGCCGGCTCCTTCCCACTGACTGAGCTTAGAGCCAGCGTCCCGCCCTCTGGGGCCTGGCTCGGTGTCCCTGGGTGTCTCCAGCCCATCCAACCATCCCCCCACCCCGCCGCCCCCAGTCTCCACATCCTGGGCAGAGGGAAGTGGCACCCACGTCCAGCCAGGCTGTCTCTGTCACACTCACCCTGTTCCTGCGACCGCTCACGGCTTCCCTCTGTGAGAAGGAGGGGAACGGGTCCCGGGAAGGGGGCTTCGGGCTGAGCTGGCCCTGGACACTGCAGGTGGGAGAGAGAGCACAGGGTGTGTGAGCCTGACCTGCTCGGGGCCCCATGTCAAACCCTCCGGAGGCTGAGCGCAGCGAGGGAGGCAGACTGCCACTCTGTGATGTTTCTGGGGGACGGGGTGGGGGAGGGGCGGGGGGATGGGAGGGGACGGAGCAGGGTAGGGGCAGGGGGATGGGGTCGGGGGGACAGGGCAGGGGAAGGGCGGGGGGACTGGGGGGATGGGGTGGGGAAGGGGCAGGGGGACGGTGGGTCTACCCTCCACACCCCCCGCCAGAGACAACTTTGCTGCGTCTGGGCTTCCACCGGGGCTGGGCGCTCTGAACACACAAAGCTAACGCAGAGCAGGGGCTGCAAAGCCCGCCCCCAAGGTGGCGTCCATATGGCCTCGCACGCGGGGCAAACGGAACAGGTGGCTTTGCCGTCACCTGGACTCAGCCCGACAGCCTCACTGGGAGCAACGGTTTCTACAACATTTCGCATGTGCGGTTTATGCTCAGAAACACCCACGACAGTGCAACCCGCCCCCCAAGGCCGCGTCAGCCGTGTTGGCAGTGCTGTGGCCCAGAGGGCCCTCCCTCGGGGCACACGCCCCTCCCATCCCCTCCCCCGTGGCAGCTCAGCCGGCCACGGTCACAGCCACGCGACTTTCCCTCAGGTTCTGCGGTGCTGGGCCCAGCAACGCTCCCGTGCCCGCCGGTCCGCTCCACCCGCCCCCACCTTGGGGCTGCTCCACTGCCAGGGGCTGGTCCAGACCCACACAGGCCCCGGGCCCTGAGCCTTGCAACACATAGCAGAAAGCCGGCTGGGATGGGGAGCACCGGGATGGGGAAGAACCACCCTGGGGGGTTCCCTTCCCTCACTGCCCAGTCATGCAGGCCTGGGAAAGGCCCACTGACCCCACAGCAGGACCCCAGGGACAGGCCTGCCGTCCCTCCGGCCTCACCTGGCCTCCTCCTCGCCACAGCTGAGCGCGTCCCGCTGGATCTCAGCAGCGGAGTTCAGGGCGCTCAGGCCGTAGGACAGCTCGGTCCGGCCGTTCCCTGCTCCCTCTCCGCCGGGGGCCGTGACCTCCTCTCCCTCCAGCAACGCTCGGGACAGCTCCTCCTCGGTCTCACCGCTTCAGATGACGGGAAGGGAGCAGAAGCATCAGTGCGGCCCCTCCCTCCCCCCCCCCCCCAAGCCCCCTGGACCACAGCATTCGGCTCTGCTTTAGACAAGAGGCATGCCTGTCCGCCCCGCTGGCCAGCTCAACAGCACGGTGGGGTCGTGCCTGTCACACCCTGACCCTGGCATGTGCTGGATGAGAGCCTGAACTTCAGCAGTTCTGCAAGTATTCATAAGAAGTGAGGGGCGCCTGGGTGGCTCAGTCGGTTAAGCGTCCGACTTCAGCTCAGGTCATGATCTCACAGTTCGTGAGTTCAAGCCCCATATTCGGCTCTGTGCTGACAGCTCAGAGCCTGGAGCCTGCTTCGGATTCTGTGTCTCCCTCTCTCTCACTGTCCCCTGCTCATGCTCTGTCTCTCTCTGTCTCAAAAATAAATAAAACATTAAAAAAAAAAAAAAAGAAGTGAAATTAACGTACACTTTAAAAAGGAACAGAGTGCATAATATTTAGTCCATTTCACTCACACGTGGCTTAATTTCCCGGAGTTAACGTGTATGAAAACTGCTCACCCAGGGGAACAGAACTGCACACGTGGGGAGGGCCAGGGACCGGCACGGCCATTACAGTGGACCCCAGGAAACAGGCACGGGTCCCGGACAACGGGTGTGGTGCAGACCCGGGCTGCAGGGAGGCGCCCTCTCGCCTCCAACAGGAAAACCAGGGGACCCGGTGCTTGGAGGGCAAGGGTCCCCTCTGCCTGCAGGGACGCTGCCAGCCCTCCCGGACCCTCGACGCGCTCGCCAGGGCGCTCAGGGAAGTGCAGCAGTGCATTCTGACAATAAAAGGGCAGCGGAAACAACTCTGCTCTGACAGTGGGGCCGATGGGCAGCGTGGGGTCCGTGGGCAGCGTGGGGCCGTGCCCAGGGCCCCTCGCCCCACTCACGCTTGCGAAGTGAGGAGTGCAAACCTGGGGGCTCTCCCCAGAGACCATGGTGGGGGGTGGGGTACACCTGCCAGGTCCACAAGGATCAGCAACACGCGGGAAGGGCGGGGGAGAGGGGGGGCCCCCGTCGGGGCGGCGCGGACACCTACTCTGGTTGTCCAGCTTCTGCAGGTGCGGCAGGTTACGCAGGACGGTCATGCGGTAGAGGTGTGGGTCGGACCCGCAGCACGGGTTCTCCGCCAGCCACAGCACACGCAGGCGCGGCAGGCCCTTCAGGTAGTAGAGCTCCGCCAGGCTGGGGATGCGGTTCCTCCGCAGGTACAGCTCACTCAGCTGCTGGCAGCGGCTCACGGGCTCCAGGGTGGACACGCTGTTGACGCTGCACGGGGACAGCACGGTGTCAGCTGTAAGGCCCGCGCCCATCCGCCCTCCCCCGGGAAGCTGATCGAAGCTGGGAGGCACGAGTCACGTTCCACGAGGTGCCCGGGGCGAGGAGAAAGCGTCAGGAGTACGGGCAGCTGTGAGCAACCCCCAACTCGGTGAGTTGTTAGGCTCACCGAGTCAATGGGGAGGTAGGAGGGCCCACTCTCCCTCACAGGACAGGAAACAGGCCTCCAAGGCACCGTCTCCATGCCCCAAAGCAGGCAGCAGCCAGCAGAACCCACAGCAAATACAAGGAAGCCCTACCCTACACACGCTGGGCACCGAACTTCTGAGCCCCGGCTTGAGCAGCAGGGTATATGGGTTTACATTTTCCGCAGAGATGTGAGCACATCACAGACAGAAGGTCGCCCAGGCATCTAGGCAGAGACTCTACGGTCTAAACGGACACAAGCAGAAAGCTCGCACCTCCACAAAAGCAAGCGGACTGTGAAAACACGCTCAGCGCAGTGTCCAGCTGAGCTCAGAGCCCAGTGTCCTCGTGGGCCTGGTGGGAGCTCCTCCTCCACAGCTTTGGGGACGCTGCTGCTCCCTGCCGAGCCGGAGGGCACGGGTGGGGCCACTCCAAGAGACCCTGCCCGACGAGACCTATCTAGAACATTCTCTCTGGAGTCTGTATCTGCGTTGGCAGCGATGTCCTGATCCTTCCAGGGACACCCCTGCAATTCTGAACACTCACTGACCGCAGTTACCAGCGCTCAAGGTGTGCGGGAGCTGCCCAAGGCACAGGCAGGGGTGTGGTGGGACCCGAGGCTACACGCTGGCCCGGTCCTCCTCGTCGACCACCGGGCTCTCTGTGGTTGGACTGAATGTCTGTGCCCCCCAAACTCATACGTTGAAACCTACCCCCCAAGGTGCCGGTGTTTGGAGGTGGCTGGGTCAGAGGAGCCCTCACAACGGGACCTTAGGAAAGAGACCCCCGAGCTCCCTCACTCCTGGCCCCACCTGAGGACCCAGCGAGAAAATGGCGTGTGAACCGGAAAACAGGTCTCACCGGACACTGAAAATCCAACACCCTCATCTTGGACTTGCGGCTCCGGAATAGACTGAGACAGGCCTTGTACACACGAGGTCTAAGACCGTAGGGAAATGACCGCACCTCACCAAAGATCGGCACCCTGTGTTCACAAGGCAATTTACACCCAGACCCAGTGCCGCCAGATACCCAGGCCCTGGAACCTGGGCTCAGTCAACAACCCCGGGCCTTGTCCTTTCTCAGAGCCGTCCACAGGGCGCTCAGAGAGGCCCAGCGACCTGCCCCAAACCACTCCAGGCACGGCAGAGCCGGGGTTCAAGCCACGCCTACCTCCAGGTTTCCTGCTACTTGGGGGAATGGAAGGCAATATATTTATTTGTCAGGTAAGGCTTCCTGGGGTGTGGGCTCAAACCTCGGCTTCACTGATACGAGGCAGTGACAGTGACAGCTGGTGTGTGCGCACTGGCTCAGCGCTGCAGCCCCTCCTCACTGCCCCCAAGGGGCAGGCGCTGGTATTATTTCCATATTACAGATAGGGAAACTGAGGCCCAGGGACCTGAGCCTTGCCCGACGTGGGAGGGCCGGCATCTGGCAAGCGGTGATGACTCACGGGCTCTCTCCAAACAGCCCAGCTGCCCGAAGTCCCGGCAGCACCTGGTTCAGCCACGGATTCCCTAGTCTGTTAAGATGCCAAGGCCTCCGGAAGAGGTGGCTATGACCGCTCAGAGGCCGTGTTTTGTGGGGACACTGGTGGAGCTCCCGGCAGCTCCGGAACCAGAGGGCAGAAATGGTGGGGGTGCTGGAGGTGGACGTGGCCACCTCGAGGGCAGCTGCTCATCACATGGGGGTTGCACCCACTGAGCATGGTGAGGCTGGGCACGGATGCAGCGGGGCGTGCTCGAGGGGACGGCCGGGGGCCCCTCATAAGGAGGCAGAGCTCAGGGGGGCTGAGGCACAGCCAGGCCTTGTGCCGCCAACCCTGCTCCGCACACAGAAGCTCCCCACCCCCACGCCCCCAGACAGACTCTTGTTGGGAGCTTTCAGATTATCCGAGGGGATCTGAGCCTTCTCCTTTTGAGCCCCGTGACTCAGAGCACAGCAGGCGTTTAGGTACCTGAGGGTGATCACTTCCAGGCTGGGCATTTCCCGGCAGATGGAGACCTAGGAAGGAAAGGAATGTGATGGCAGACACCGCCAGGCGCTCTCTCCACGAGCCCGGCACAGGGACGGGGTGGCACCACAGAGAGCCCCATCTCAGCCCTCCGCGCCTACGCGGGGCAGCCGCTGGCCTCATGGGGGCTGACACAACACGTGACAGCAGGCAGGCTCCGCACGACACTCCGCTTTGCACCCAGACACTCCCTCAACATGAAGAAGCACGTGCTCTCTCTAGGACTTTGGAGAGCATCGCCGCTATCAGAGGCCGCTATCCCTGAGATGCCCGCAGAAGACATCAGGGGAGGGGACCTCAATGGCCCCTGCGTGGACAGAGAACGTTTCTTTTGCTGTCCCTGAGGCACGGGGAGAAGGCTCGGCCAACGGAGCTGGGGCAAAAGGGAGACAGGATTGGAACTGGACCTCACACCACATTAATACCGTTGATTCAGGGAAAAGACCAATGGGGCGCTTGGCTGGGTCCATAAAGTCAGCCTGGAAGGCCAATGGGGGGTACAGCCCCCACAAACGTCTGTGCTGCCACGTGTCAGGCGTGGAGCCAGATGAGGCCCTTGACCTCCAGAGGCTCATGGTTGGCTCAGAGTGCTTTACATGTGCAATGGGTTTGTTTCTGCTACAGTGGCATTTTTGGGTTTCAGGGTTTTTTTTGGGCTGCTGAATATGCAGCATTTCAGCTGTAGCAGGAGGTGGAATCAGCTTTTCTGGATAGCCCAGTGTCTCAGCAGCACTTCTGACTGTTTTCAAGGAAAGGGACGGTTCACGTTACAAAAGTGAGAAAGAAACCACAGGTACACAATCCGTGTGTAAGTCCGGGACGTTCACTCTCGGAGAGGGAGAGGGCAAGACCGTTCACAGACCCAGAGCTCAGCTCAGGGCACTGCCCCCGCCCAACCCAGGTGCCCATCTCTTCCCGCCGTGGCCCGGGGGGTGGGGGTGGGGGTGGGGGTGGGGAGCAGAATGCTGGATCTGACCAAGAACAGGGCCAAAACGAGCAACTCCTCAGTGACCCAAAGCCTTCCCCCTCCTCTGGGAGACCTGGGACACGAGGCCTTTCATTGACTAAATACTGAAAGGAACTTCAGAATAAAGCTGGGCACTCGGGGGTATGTTTTTCATTAGTCATTCTACATTCCAAGCACTGCTAAATGAACAAAGTACCAGATTAGGGGCTGAATTGAATGTGTGCGGTTCTGTAAATTTAACAGTTCTCTTGAGGGACAGGTGACACCTTTGGGGACCAGGGGGCATCTGGAGATGATCAGCAGAATACTTACATCTGTGAGGCGGCTGCCCCTATGGAGAGAGAAGACATACTTTAATTCTGTTAAAGCTGAGTAAGAAAACAAATGGACACAAATTAGTGACAAATGTCTACAAACTAAAATTCTATAATTCCAATGATAAAGTGAGGGAAACCTTGCCCAGATGACTCACAAAAGTGTCAAAAGTTGTCACACGACTGAAAACTGTTTACGTCTGGTGCCTGAGGGGTGCTTCTCAGACTGAGGAGCCGGAGGGCTGCCCCACTTGGAGGGCACAAAGACCCACTCACCCTCCAGGCTGCCGCAAGGCAGGACCACTTCCCTCACTGATGTAAGCAGACAAGCAAGTCCTTGTAACAGGCCACGCTCGAAGGCTGAACACGCAGCTTATGAGACCAACACTAGAGAGCCTGAAATAGGGCCCTTGTCTCTCCCCGCTCTGGGGAAGCATGGCCACCCCACGCAAGACAAAGAAGCATATTGTTGAGAACAAACGGCAGAGCCAAATGTCAGAAGTGCCAGGGCAGAGGGAAAGGCTTTTTAATGCACAGGCAGGGCCCACTGCGGTCAATCTGCCCACACTTCCTGTGAGGCCGGTCTGCCCCTGGCTGGGCTCCCCACGCCCCACCTGAACTGTCCAGTGTACAGGGGTGCGTGAAGCCTTGCTTTGAGTCCCCAGTGAGCACCTGAGTTCATGGAGTGGTTCTGGTCCTTCCTCAGCCCAGCCAGACCTGGTCACCCCCCAGACAGGGAGTCACCTGGGGAGAGCCCCTCCCCAACAGGGCCCAGTTACAAGAATGTTTATGGATTCCTTACTTGGGAGTCTCAGCTCTCTCTCTTTCCCACTAGAAATGGTGTTAATCACCTCGGTCCCCCACCCGATTAGTAGACCTGGCCCAGTGGCTGGCAATGTCAGAAATCAGATCCTTCCAGAGGGGACCCGTTTGCCCCATCTACCGTTTGTCCATTGCATCGGGCCCAATGCCATCTAGAGGGCTGACAGAGACTTCGCGGTAATGCCAATTGTCTCAAAGAGTGCATGTTTGGGGCCTGGGTCTGAAGCACCACCACTCCGCGGGGGCAAAGATTCTGGAATGATCCTTGCCAAAGGCCACCTGGGCTGGTGGCAGCACTTCCTGCATGCTGGGCGGGGCCCTGGCACTAGCTCTCCTCCGTCCCGAACCCTTTTCTGGCCCCTCCGCAGGCCCTTCCCGCCCCCCGCCCAGAGCCCAGGTGCCGGGCGGGGGTGCTGGGCAGCGGGAAGGACGTGAGGGGACGGCCCCGGGCTCTGGGCCCTCACCAGCAGTTGAGCTTCCGCACGCTGTGCAGCTCCGAGGCCTTGGCCCGGGACAGGACCATCTTCCGAGTCAGCTTCATGGTGGAGGGCCTCCCGGAACCCGCCCCCGGCCCCCGGCCCCCGGCCCGGCCCTGCCCTCGACCAGCCGCCCGCTAGCCACGGGTTCCCGGCTCCATGGCGGCCTGTCTCCAGGGGGCGGGGCCCGCGTCGTCAGGGGCGGGCCCTGCGAGTCCATTGGCCATTCCTTGAGGGGCGAAGCGGCGCGAGCGAGGTGGGGCCGCCCGGGCAAGCGCTCAACGCGTTAGTTCGGCCCTCGAATGCCCCGCCCCGCCCCTCCGGCTGCGCGCGTCCAGGCCTGCGCGTGCGCGGCGTGGGGGCACGGGGGACGGAGAAGTGTCTGCTTCTGACGTAGTTCTGCTGCGACCCAGGTGAGGCCCCTCGTCGGGACAGACCGGCGATACCGAGTCACCGAGCACCGAGGCCCCCAGCTCCGAGTCTTCGAGCCCTGAGATCCTGAACCGCCCCAGCCCCGAGCCTTCTAGCTCTTGAGCCCCCGAGCTCGGAGCCTGGAACGTAGACGTGACAGTGTCTTGACTCCCTGAATAACGGAGATTTACACTGTTCAGATAAGAAGCCAGCCCTAGGCCGGTGTGGATTTCCTTTCCCCTTGAGCATAAAGGTACCCCCCCCCCACCCCGTATTAGGCGTTTCAGAAGCCAGAGGCGCAGCTTACGTTGACTGGCTTTGGGATCTCAGAGCTGTCGAAGGTGACAGGACCCAGCTTTAGTCATCCTCCTCTGTCCCCTTTTCCACTGGCCCCCCTGTCCTGCCTTTGGCCTGCCCGGCCCATCGGCAGAGCCTGCTAAGTCGCTCCACCCTTGATGTCTGTTCGCCCTCACTGTCTGATCCGGTTGTCCTGCAGGTGGTATCTGATCGTCTCCGCCTGCCTTTAGCAACACCCCCGACCCGCGATGTCTCAGTACTTTTCCGTCCCCTGGGTTCCCCCCACCCCCACCACCACGCTGACCTTGGCTGTAAACCCCATTTGTCTTTGTATTTGGAGTGGAGGCCAGTCTCTCTCCCCTATTCCAACAGCCTTGAATAAAGTCTTCCTTACTGTTTTAAGAAGTGTCAGAATAACTTTTTCTTGAGCGGAGGTCAGAGACTGCTTTCCCAGGACGTCACAGCAACCTCTGAAGCCCAGGGCCCCTGAGACTGGTGGAGGGCCTGCCCGTACCAGGGGCCTACTGCACGACAGGAGGGGGAGACGCCGTGGGAGAGAGTAGACTTCCTATGGGGTCTCCTGTCCCTCTCAGCCCTGCCGCTTGTATCACAAAGACGACATAGGGATTTTACAAAGAGGAAAGTCTGCCCATGGAGGTTGAGCAATTATTGCTGTTCTGTGGGGTTTGTCCACGTGCTGTGTTTTGCTGGGCCACGGGGTGCCGTGAGCAGTTTATCGGTCAGATTCTTGCCCTGAGGCCTCTCATCAGTGCATGGGTGAGGTGGCCCCCCCCCCAAAATGGTGTGTGAGCCTCCTCAGGCAACAGAGTGCAGTGCTGTTCTTTGAGGAGGAAGAAAGCCCGTAAATAGTGCCAGTCGGAGCTCTCAGACGGACCCTGGGTCTAGTATCGGGCTCTGGCGACCTGTCCAGGTCTCAGGGCAGGACAGGAGTGCAGCCTCACCGAGAGTGGCAGGAAGAGTCCAAGAAGCCCAGGCTGTGCAAGCTTGCAGAGGCCTTCTGGCTGTCCCAACTTGGGAGCCGCATCAGGTGACGGGAGAGTCTGCCCAAGGTGTGGGTGACCTGCCACCAGCAGATGGAAGCCAGCATCTGCATTTGCTGGCCCTGCTTGTCCCCACCTGGCTGAGATGGCCTCTCCTCCTCCTACCAGGACTGGTGTGGTCCAGGTACAAGAACCAGACCAGGCGGGGCCTGAGCCACACCACGGAGGCTGTGGGACAGGCCCCAGCTCTCGGCAACAGGGCTGCACCTGGGAGGCTCTGTGTAGGCGATGGGGGTGACAGGGGAAGGCGTGAGGACCCTGCAGGTCGGCCTGGAGTAGGTCGACCCTCAGGTTCAGGGTGTGTGGATTTCCCTGTACTAAGCACTGGGGAACAGGAACCACTGGGCCCTGAGTCCAGGCGGCCTGGGCCTCCGGGAGGAATCTTCTCAGCGGAAGTTGAGGATGGGCCCCTGTCAGGCACCCACACAGAGGGAAGGAGGAGACAGGTGTGCTTACGGCCCTCTGGCCTCTGGGGGCCTCTGCAGCCCCTGCCGGCTCTGTGGCTGTTCAAGAGGGTGGCTGGGGTGTGAACCGGTTGAAGGTCCTGGCGACTCAGGTGACTCTTGCAAAGTGAGGATTCTTTGCCTGCTTAAGTAGAAGTGTGTCGGTTTGGATGTGCCACTGTGCATCCCCAGAACTCCCTTCCCCGTGTAGCTCCGAGGAGAGATTTGCATGCGCTTTGGAAGGTGGAAGACGGCAGGTGGAAGGCCATCCCGGGCAGAGGTGGGGAGAGATGGATGGACTCAGAAGGGTGGGGTGGGGGTGGGGGCCCAGGGTCTTCCCTGAAGTCTGTCCTCTTCTTGCCGACAGTGGCCTTTGTTGCTGCAAACTCACGGTGAGAGCTCTGAAGAGGCCACCGCCGTCCACAGACCTCTCCACAGCCCCCCTCGTGGTCCTGCTTCCAGAGCTGGCCACGCCGAGCTCCCCAGCTCCCCTGCAAGCTCGCTCCTGTGCACCTGCCCCCCCTGCCCTGGGAGAACTGCTTCTCGCTCCCCCTTCTCCAGTTTCTCCCGGACTTCTGTGTCCCCAGCTCCCTCCCGCTACTGTGTAAAGATGAGCGCCTGTAACACATCTCCTATTTTGCCATGTTCCCGGGGCTCCTGCTTCCTGGAGTGAACCCTGACACAGGCAGAAATGCAGCACCAATTTGCTTAAACCAAAACGGAAACACCGGTTCCCGTCGTCGAGTAGCCGAGGGGACACGGGTGGGCGTCGTCGAGAAGCCAAGGGCAGTGGCTTCGAGTGTGGCTGGATCCAGGGCCTCGGTCTTCGTTATTGGGGCCCGGCCTCTACTCCCGCTCCCAGCTTACATGCGCCCGCATCAGATGCTGTCTACCCTCTGCTTCAGGCCTGCACCGTGGCTGCTTGAGTCCAGCAGAAAGGAAGCTTTTCCCAGTGACTCAAGTGCCTGTTTGGGGACTGGCCTGGCATCAGTCCTATGCACCCCGAATCCGGCTCTGCGGCTGGCCGTGCAAAGCCCGGGTTTCCGGCCTGAGCCACATGCCCAAGGTGGATGATGGGAGTGAGGCAGGGGAAGTGACCCAGAGGAACATCAGAGAAGAAGGGAACCCGCTGCTTCAGACTGGCGGTTGCTGTGGGAAAGGTGACAGCCCGAACACGCCTTGTCTTCTGCCCCCACCACGTTCTCTCCTTGTGTCCCCTGCACACACTTCCTTATTCCAGGGGAACTTCCCTCTCCCAGCGGTCACTCTGGGGCTCTGCTCACTGGATTCCCACGTGGCCCTGGCTACTATAGGACAGTGTCCTTCCCTCACTTCTAGCCCAGCTGAATCACGAGCTTCATTTCTGCCAGCACCACATCCCAGAGACCCGCGTGGCTTCCCCGAACTCCTGTGAGCTTCTGGAAGCTACACCCCCAGCGTCTCCTCCTTATGGCTCCTTGAAGCCCCTGGGTTGGAGGGGGAGTGAGAGGGGCCAGGTGGCCTCCAGGCCGGGAGGCATGGTCCTCCCTCTGCTGGGGTCCTGGCCCCTGTGCAGTCTGGGAGATAGCACTGCTCCAGCAGGCGTGACAGGGACCCAGGGACAGGGCCTGCTCTCCTCTCAGGACCCTGGACAGGCTGACCACTCCGCCCTCATCCCCAGGGGGCTGCCCCACAGCGGGTGGGGACTGAAGCACAGAGGAAAGTTCGGGGTGTTTGGGCTGGACGGTGGCAGAGAAGAAGGTCCTGGGGTGGAGAGGGAGGAACCTCCTCCAGGTGTGAGCTCTGCTTCTCCGATGGCAGCAGAAACTGTCAGTAGCCAGCAAGGTCACCCCAGGGTGGACCGTCCCCAGACCTGCCTACCTTCCTCCGGCCTGGTTTTCCTCTGGGGACTCGGCCTCCGTGTGTTTTAGCCACTCTGCCTCCAGTTCTGCCTCCGCTCTCAGCTGAGACCCTCCTGGGCACGGCCCCTGGCCTATCACTGCTGGGGTACAAAGGCGGGCCCTGTGGCTCTGGGTGCACAGCTGGAGGGCCACCCGGCCTCAGAGCTCCCTGGGGCTCCTGGGAGAGCACCGGACGCGGGCGGCCTGGAGCCGCTGGCCCGTCTCCCCGAGCCGGCTGTCCAGGGCTCCTGAGGCCTCGCCTGCCAGCGTGGGGCCAGCTGCCTCTCACACCCAGGAATACCCTTGAGGGCAACAACCACTGCCTGCTCCCTCCATGCTGTGCCTGGTGGGGGACTCCACGCTGGGCCTGCTGGCGATCGTGTTCTGACCACGCGGGGCCGGGGGTGACTGGGACTTGCCCCAGCTTCTGCCCTAGCTTCCCTTCTCTCTACCCACCCCTACCCCAACCTCCAAACCCTTTGGTTATCCGGTTATCCGCAGCTATGTAACAATGGCTCCAAACCTAGCAGCTGACGGCGGGAGACATTACCTCTTCACGGTGCCTGAGGGGCGGGAATCTGGGAGCCGTGGGGCTGCTGGCCTGGTCTGGGGCCCCTCGTGGGGTCAGGTTGTGGGCCCGAGGCCAGGGGCTGGGGACCAGGGCTGCCGTCTCTGGAGACCTGAGTGGGGTCCGGGCTCGTTCACGCAGCTTGTGAGAGAAGAGTAGCCTGCATGTGTTCATTTAACACAGTGTCCTGAGAGGTTGTTTGGGCCTCGAGGTCCTTCCCAGCTCTGTCCCCGTATCTGTTGCTTGGAAACGCGCTGCCTGCTATGGCTGTCGGGAAGGCACGTGGTGCAGGGCATTGGCCCCTGCGCCGATTTGCTCCCTCGTCACCATCACATCTCAACCGCCCTTTCTGAGAGGTCATTCCCAGAAGGCAGATGATCTGTCAACCTCAGGCATGAAGGCATGAAGGCATGAAGGGACGATGGTGTCCCCAACATGAAGCCCACTTCTCTTGGTGCTCTGTCCGGACCAGGGCTCTGCAAGCCACAGCCACTGCCTGTTTTTGTAAATAAAGTTTTATTGGCACACGGCCACGCCCATCCATGCACCTGTGGCTGATGGCTGCTTCCTGGCTGCAGGGGGCTGAGTAGTTAAAACGGAGCCCCTGGGCCTGCGGATCCTGAAGCATTACCAGTGGCCCTTAGAGAAGCCGTTGCAGCACCGCCCTAGACTCTGGCCGTGTTGTCGCCCCACCCCCTGGACCCACCCCAGCAGCCAGCTTCTCTGCTCCCGTGGATTATTCACGGCCGGCCACAGCATGCCCGTGCCACGTGGCCAGACTGCTCTCTTTTTCACTGACTGAGTTTTCTTTTCGCTGCCAGAACTTTTTACCTTGGCCGTGTTGTCCACGCCGTGAAAACATCCTCCGCGTTTCCTTTAGCTGGATGTGAGCCAAGTCGCAATCAAAGTCAGGACTGCTGCGTTCCTGCTTTATGGCCAAACGCCTCTTTATTTTTATGGGATGGATGTTTCATAATTGCTCTTGCAACGGCGTCCTGGCGGACGGAACGTGGCCTTCTTGTGAAATGTGTGGTTTTTTCTGGAAGGGAAGGAGCCACAGGGGCGACATGAGCGCTGATGTTTGGTCAGCAGCCTGTTTCACGTACTGCTTCCCCTTCACCGACGTTCCCACAGAGGCCCTGGGATACTCGGAAGCCAAAGTCAGACCGCCCATGCCTGCCCCCCCCCAGAGCTCTGCGTGATTGCTGTCTCTTGAAATATTAACTGATCCTCCGCCGTGTGCTTTCAGTCAGTGGAATGGCTCTCAGGCCAGAAGGCCCCCCAGGGAAGGAGCGCTAGCCCAGAGTCTGGGCACGGCTGCTAAAAACCAGCTGCAGACGCCGTGGGTCTCTGCTTGCTTTGCCTGTTAACTAAGGCCTAAGACCCCTCCCGGGGGCGGTGGCAAGCCAGCTCCTGCGGCGGGTGCCGGCCGAAGGCCTGGGCTGCCGGA